TATAGCAACAAGAGTGAACAGTCTTCCATTACATGGAACAATCATGGATTATTCTGACAGTGTTGAGCTAATGAAGCCAGCCAGACACAAAGAATATAGACTGCATGATTCTATTTTTAGAAAATTGGCAAAATTTATGTGTGGTATTGACTGATATTCATCATGGAGGATATTCAACATGGCGGACGTAGCCTTGCAGTCTGTCAGCCGTGTTGTTTCTCCATCAGAGTGCCGGTTCCCTATTTATGAAGTAGGGGTAATGTTAATACCTACCTCATAGGATTGTTAGGATTAAGTATGACAATGCATGGCATGCGGTAATTGTTCAATAAGTGTTAGCTATTATTGTCACAAATAAGCCATCTGAGGAAGGAGAAGGGAAGGCTCCTGAGAGGAAGGGAGCTCTGGGCTATTTCATAGGCTCAGTATCCTGGGTGCTGTCCTGTGCCTTGTTCCGTCTACTTATGATTGTTCTTGGCAATGTTTTCAGCACATCTGACTCCTCTTCCACAGAACTCCTTGTGGGCATTCAAGGCCTCTGTGGCTCATTCAGAGCCCTCCTCTCCTTTCTCGCCCCTTAATTCCTAGCACCTGCCAGCTGCCGCTGGTTCTGTTCCTCTGTCTGCCCTGGCTCATGCAGCTGCCTCTGGCTCTCCTGCCTTGGCCAATCTTAACCTGGTGAAGTCTTCTCTCAGTACCCCCGGTGCCGTTCCCATTGTGGGTACTTTACAGAAGCGTCTTGTTGTACTTAAATCCTGGATCTGCAGCAAATGGACATGGCCCCGGTGCTGCGGGCTGACTCGAGCTGAGCTAAGTTTCTATTCAGGGTTTTGATTTTCCTGGTAGGCTTGGCATGTCAAGGGCCATAGTTTTCCTTACCATTCTGGAGCCACTGGGCTTCTGGGTAAGACTGGCCAAGAGACACAGGCTTTCATTTTTCAGAAAGGAAACCCTTCCCAACTGGTGGAAAATAAGCCTTTGCTTAGTGACTAATAACATAAACACAGACAAGATTTCTGGGCTTATAAATAACCAGTTGTAAAAGTGCCCAAGGGAAGCAGCCCTTTTTGCCAGAAGAATGGCCAAGAGTTCCTATCACCTCACTGATAGCGACCTTAACATGAGCAAGGAGTCTGGGGCCAAGGGCGCGGAAGCTGGTTATTCTTCAGGACAGACTCCCAAGGCCCTGCTCTTTCTTACATGTTAGAAATCCTGGGCTATTCTGGAAAAAAAATAGTACTTGATCTCTAAGGCTCTTCCTGCTTGAAAATTTTGTGATTCTGTGGCAGCCACAACACATTTTAAAGAGTGATGGCAGCGGGGAGAGCAAAGTCATAGGGTTTCATTTTGCAGGAGCTGGCTAAGAGACAGATGAGGTAATTCCGAGGGTAGCTCCCGTTTATTGAGCACTGGCCGAGGCACCACGCCGAAGGAGCAAGACCCGTGAGCTCATGGAGTGCCCTGTGTTTGACTGATGAGACCAAGGTTCAGGGGGTTCACGTATGTGTATGATAGTGGAGTGGCTAAGAGCACGGTGTGTGTGGTCAGACTGGGCCTCAGCCTGGCTCCAGCTCAGACTCTCTGTGGCCCTGGCCTGGACGAACCCAGAATTTGTCACATGTACCATGAGGATGCTCATAGGACCAAAGCCATAGGATGTAACTCCTGCAAAATACTTATCAGCTCGGCGCCTGCGCATAGTGGCCTTCAGTAAGTGCTCTGTTACCAGGAGGGACTAGAAGCTTCGTAGGTAACATCAACATCGTGTGGCCTCCTTGATGAGTCGTTGAGGTACCAAGCCTGGAACTGTTGTTTGCATTTAGCTAATCTAGGGTTACAATCAGGGCCTTGACCCTGAGGCTTGGCTGTGCCGCTTCCTGTAGGAGGGGCGGGGTGGGGGTCCCAGGGCCCAGCGTGGCCATTTGGACAGTTCAGTCACCTGGCTGCCTGCAAGCCCCACCTGCAACAGTTGAGGGGTCGATTTTATCACTTGGATATCATCTCCTTCACCCATTGTTTCCCAGCCTGGCTCCTGGTTAGCTCCTCGGGATGTCAGGAGGGAATCAACCTGCCAGACTCTTCTAGGGCGATCGAATATTAGCATTTTCCACACATTTTGCCTCCGTTTGATTACAGAACACTCGTTTTCCTCCAGAATCCCTTGCAGGACGAAGGCCCCACGGCACACGCATCTGGAACCGTTCCCTGGCCTCCCTCTAAATACAGAAAGTCAGCTGAGGGGCAGGAGGGAAAGGCCGGAGGCAGCAAGGGGTGACCGGGGCCGTCAGACAGGATGAAATCGGCACGGAGTTGAGAGGGAGGCCTCGTAGGACTTACTGATGGAAGCTGCGTAGGGAAATGTCTGGTGCGGTGGACCCTTGAAGTGACTGTGTTTATGTCTGCATGATGCCAAGCCGGCCGGTTGGAAGGGGAGGATGGGCCTTTGTCTGCACGAGGCCAATGACCCGCTCCTTCTGACAGTCAACTAAGGGGACCAGTGGCTTTGCCTCCTCTGGGGAATGCATCAGACTTTTGTGGGGGAGGGGTGTGAGGCTCGTTCTTTATTTCCCTGTCAGAGAACCTTCCCTCTTTCTTCCTTCCCCTCTTTTTAAAACTAGAAAGCCCGCTGTCCTGTCCAGGGTCTAATCGCTCCATCATTTTTGGAGCCTGAGCCATGCCTCCCGAGGCAGCTTTTCCAGTTTCCAAAGTTTATTGTTAATGAAAAGGGCACGACAGGCCGAAATCCCTGGCAGCAGCCAAGGCTGCAGGGTACCCCGAGGCCGGCAGATGTGGGAGCAGCCAATTTTATCTGGCCGTTCTCCTTCCTCTTCCCCCCTGCCTTCCTCCTTCCCCCTTCATTTTATCAGAGATGTTTGGCTGGACTTGAAGGAGCCAAGAAGGAACTGGAGTGGCTTGGGCTTCTAACAGCCAGTGATAAGGTGTGGGAGGACAGACGACCCATGCCTGGGGCATGTTCCAGTTCAGTTCTGTTCTCACTGAGTGTGTCTAGGAGTCTGGCTCAGTGCTAAGGCCCTGGGGCCCAATAATATCAATAGCCACAATAATGGCTAATATCACTGAGCGCATGCCGTAAGTGGAGGCCTTGTTCTAAGCATGTAACAAACCCAATATCAATAAACACTCCCAACAGTTCTAAGAAGTACTTACTAATGTTATGGACATTTTGCAGTTGACTAAACTGAGGCACAGAGAGGACGAGCAATCCCCCCCAGAGTTACAGAGCAAGTAAGAGGCAGATCCATCAAAACTAAACTCTTTATGTCTCAAAGTCCAGACTCCTAGTCCAGGCAGAGGAAATGTAAATGTAAATCAGCAACTAAATGTATACGGTTTGAAAGCGATACATGTATTGAGTAGCCACCATGAGGAGCAGAGGGACACAAAACAGAAGCCATATTTGAATTCGATCTTGATAGAGGGGCTGGAGTTTCCAAAATAGAAAGACAGGGAGGAGTAAAGGCAGAGGGAAGGAGGTGGGAAACAGCAGTCATTGGCAGGGGAGAGTGGGCAGAGGGAGGAGAGAGAATGAGAGAGAGAGAGGGAGAAATTGTGAGAAACAGCAAATGGTCCAGCATTGGGGGACATCAGGGACCTGATGGGGAATGGTAGATGCTGAGGAGATGGAGGGAGGGATGTAGGCAGGGGTTCTTCAGGGACAGTCTTGGGTACCCTACAGAGGTTTTATACCATGCCCCTTGGGAGTGATGGATTTAAAAACAATTATTATTTATTTTGTCTTTGCTCAAAGGACATCTTTGTGAACGCCCAAAGTAGGAAAGAGACAGCAGTGGAGTGGCTTTGGTGGAGGTGGTGTTGAGGACCTAGTGCCTGTGCTTTGTGGCCTCCCCTAACCAGCGCTCATGGGCATCTGCCTGGCGCTCCCTCCCAAGGACTTAGTCCAACAGTGTGAACATCATGCTAGAGTATCAGGCTTGGGGAGAGAGAAGCGTTTACAAGCATCTTGGAAAACAAGTTCCATGGTGGTGTGGGGGTTAATGGGAAGGGGCTGAGTCAGGAAATCCAGCTTGCGGCGGGGCGGGGGGGGGGGGGTGATTGCCATGGTTCTGACATGCCACCACGTCAGGCTGTGGCACCACGGGTCCCCATCCCTGTCCAGTCTGGCAACTCAGCCAAACTATGCAAGTCTCCAAACTTCACTCGGCCTCAGTCTCCTCATTTTCCAATTACTGGTATTTCCCCGAAAGTTTGCTGCAAGATCTAAGTCAGTACGTGTTAGGTACTCAAAACCTTATAGGAGCCTGGCACATAGTAAGGGCTACGTAATTATTCACTGTAACCACTCACAATGCATTTAGGAAGTTTTGAGTTCACTCATTCGATAATTGTTCATTGAGCTCCCACGTCAGTGCTCTGAGTGCTGGGGGTACATCTGTGAATGAAATAGACCAGCCCTCATTTACATTCTAGTGGGGTGATTAAATTAATAAATATACAGAATACACAGAATAGGGCTAGGAAGGGTCCACAGGACCTTGTGGGCCACATTTGGAACTTTGGGTTTTATTTTGATTGAGATGGAAAAGTCTAGAAGGTTTTGAGCAAAGACGTGACAAGTCCAGCCACCCATTCTGGGTTCAGAGTAGCTCTTGAAGTCTAGGTAGCTGGTCCGTATCGAATGGTTAGTAGATGGTAGCTGTTTGTCTTACAGGGGGCTGTTCTGGTGGGCGGGGCTTAGGAGAATGATCCAGATCAAGGGCAAGGGGCCCTCAGAAAAGAGAGGCACCTTTCCCTTAGGGTTACAGAGGCGAGTCCAGTAACAGTAGTGTGCTGTCATCATCCACGTGGCTGGAGCACTAGCCCAGCTCCTCGTGACGTGGAATGGCCTGACGGGTGACCTGACCGGTAGCTCTCGGCCCCTGCTCAGTGACATCTCCGCCGTCCTCCCTCGCACCCTCTGTAGTCATAAGTGAGCTTGTTGGATAAACAGGGTGTTTGTGTGTTGCTGTTCCCCCCCACAGTGTTTGAGAACAAAGATAAGATTGTGATCATCATGGAGTACGCGAGCAAGGGGGAGCTGTACGATTACATCAGCGAGAGGAGACGCCTCAGCGAGCGGGACACCAGACACTTCTTCCGCCAGATCGTCTCCGCGGTGCACTATTGTCACAAGGTACGGCCGCGCCCCGCCAGAGCTTTGGCCACAGGTGGTTTTGATGGCGCCACGTGACCCTTTTCATGGTATACAGGTGATATCTGTTCATTGTCCTCTACATGGAGAACTTACAAAACAGAAGAGAATCACCATCACCCATGATTCAGAATCCAGGCATAGCCCACAATTGACATTTTTGTTCGTTGCTTTCCAGTTTTTTCCCTTCTACTCCTAACATCTATTTTTTAACTCGACTGTCTTACTTTGAATAATCTTAGAGGTACAGCAGAGTTTCTAAGACAATGCAGAGAGTTCCCCTTTGCCCCTCATTCACTTTTATCCTAATGGGAACATTTTCCATTACTGCAGTACATTTGTTGAATCTGAGACACTAAACATTCAGGCATTGTTATTAAAAAACTCCAGATTTTATTTAGAGTTCACCAATTTTTTCCACCAACGGCCTTTCTCTATTCCAGGATCCAGAGCACCACAGTGCATGTATGTTTTACGTTGGTGCTTTGCCTTTTCACTTTATTTTAATCTAAACATTTTCCGACATTACTAAAAATTCTCTGTAATTATTGTGATTGTTGGACATTTCAGGCTGGTTCCAATTTCTGGTTAATATATTGTAGTGATCGATATCTTTATATAGTAACCTTTTCCTTTCATCTGAATGATTTACCTAAGAGAAATTCCAGAAGTGGAGTTACTAGGCCACTGGTTGTGAACTTTCCTGTGCTCCTCATGTCTTTCCTCACATAGGTTACATTCACAAAGGTTACATACCTACACGTACATTTTATTTCAACATGCCTAATGGGATGTGCTCATGATACAGCCAAGTTAGCTACCCCTTGTCTCTGGAGAAGGAAATGAAGTCTACAGATAATTCCAAGACATATTTTAGTCATCATTGTTATTAATCATGTTAATCATGACCCCATCCTATCCATACTATTCATTTCAGGAACAGTCTTTCACTTTGAGGACAATAGTGCCTTGAATCCAACATAGAGTCAGTGCCTTCATTCGAATGATTGCCACATGGGGCCTTCTGGCTTGTTAAATATTCTGGTTAATTGAGAGTGGCTCTATAAGTAATTAGAAGATGATTATTCAGGGGCACGTGGGTGGCTCAGTCAGTTAAGCGTCCAACTTTGGCTCACATCATGATCTCATTGTTCATGAGCTTGAGCCCCGTATCAGGCTCTCTGCTGTCAACACAGAGCCTTCTCTGTCCCCTTATCTCTCTGGCCCTCTGCTGCTTGTACTCTCTCTCTCTTTCTCTCAAATAATTAAAAAAAATTTTTTTAAAAAAGATTATTCAAATCTAAAACCCTAAATCCACACGAACACTGTTAGACTTCATTTTGCTGAATCCAAAGGCACTGATGAGTCAGACCAAACAGTATTTTGTACTTTATCATCAGGCATCACTGTAAAGCACTACAGATCATATTTTCATTATTTGAAGTGGGTGAAGACTTGGGATTTTGTATGAATGGGGCTTTATCAGACTTATTCCATCTTCCTATGAAAACTAGGAATGCAATGATATAAACCAAACTGCTCCCAATATTTAAAACTAGAAAAAAAATGAGGTACCTTGTATGCTGTATCCTTCCTCCAGGAGCCTTGGTTTGTGCATTTCTGAATTCAAAACATACTCTTGAAGGTTTGCGTTAGAAAAAGAGTAGTAGAAATACAACTCTCGTCTCTTCAGTCAGTGTTATTGGAGATATTAGGTACTGTCAAATAGAAAGGAAAATAAACCATAAAGCACCAACCATAAACATGCAGATTCTGAACTAAAGAATCTTTTGTTTTTAAAGTTTATTTATTTGTTTTGAGAGGGAGAGAGTGCACACGGGAGGAGCAGGGAGAGAGAGAGAGAGAGAGAATCCCAAGCTTCCGGCAATGTGGAACCTGATGGGGGGCTCAAATTCAAAAACTGTGAGATCATGACCTGAGCTGAAATCAAGAGTCTGAATTAACTGGCTGAACCACCCAGGCACCCCTGAAGAAATCTTGAATGAAAGACGAAGAACTTCCAGCCGGTTGGTTTGCTTAAAAGAGCAGCTTCAATTGCAAGTGCCCTTTATGCTGAACGATACTAAAAACTTACTCCCTGCTATTTGTCCACACAGCCCAAAGTAGCTGGTGTCTCAGTCCTACCTCTCGGCCCACGCTCACCCATCCCTTTAAAAGATTGGGTTTGACAAAGGATCCCAAGTCCTAGTTGTTACTGCTGTGTAGACCAGCAGCCTAACTGGTTAATGACTCCTTTTTACCCTTTGCAGGCTGTCAGCAGGCTGTCCCTGCAGCTCAGCATCCAGCCTTGCTAGATTTGGCTTGAATGGAAAAGTCACATAGTATGGCAGGAACCTGCTTTGGCCGGTCCAGGGGCTAGGGTCTCATTGGCCCCTCCCACCATCACCCTTCACCTGAGTCCTGCCAGCAGAGACGGACTTACAGAACCTTCCCTCCCAGCTGCTCAGGAAACACCCATGGGGGTGTTTCTGTTCTGCTCTAAACAGATCTGGATTCGTTTCATGGGTCCGAATAGACTGAGCGAGTCCCCTTTCCAGCCGTGGGCGGGCAGGCAGGCAGGCAGGCAGAGGCAGACAGAGACAGACAGGCAGACAAGCCAGCCCGGTCTGTGAGCCCCACTTTCTGAGTCTCCAGCAGAGAAATCTGCTTCTTCCCTGGGAAGCGCACCACAGACAGACATTGTTTGTCCCTGCCTGCGACTATATTGCTTTCACACAGTGGAATTACATTCCGACAAAGAATCCCCTGCTGTTTTACAGGCTCTGGGGGAGAATGGATTCCAGTCATTTTTCCCTTAACCACACAGCAAGTGACTAATGCTCTCCTGTCCCCGGTCACTGGCTGGCGGGGAGCTTCATGACAGTGAGAAAGGCCCCGAAGGATGGAGGCAGAGACCACCGGGCTGGCGTATTTCTTTAATCTGTCAAATCGTTCCCTTTGCTCACCCCTCCCGTGCCCTCTTTCTTCGTCTCGCCCCAGCCATCCCATTCAGTCCCCTGCCTGTGTTCTCGTTTCAGAACGGTGTGGTCCACCGGGACTTGAAGCTGGAAAACATACTGCTTGATGACAACTGCAATATTAAGGTAAAAATCTTGTCTGGTTGATTGATCTGCAGAGCCTGGGGGAGCCCAGAAGTCAGACACCAGGCGGCCACCGAGTCCTGCCCAGGCAGGCAAGGGTGGGGAGTCATGGGGCTTAAGCCATCAGTTCAGTTCCAACAGTTAAATTCAATAAGCATTTCTCGGGCTCCAGCCGTATGCCAGACATCGATCTTCACACTGGGATAAAAAGATGACTAAAATACACTCCCTGTCCCCAGGAAGCTCATGGTCTACAGTCATCACCACAAAAACACTTAGGACAGTAACAGGTTGCATATGTTACTAATATGCAACTTGCCTGATATCGCCTACATTTAATCTTCCCAGCCCTGTGAGATGGGCACTGTTATTTGCGTCATTTCACAGATAGGGACATGAGGCACAGAGAAGTTAAGCAAGCAGCCCAAGGTAACATAGCCGTAAGTGGTGGAGTTGGCTCGTGAGCCCAGGTCTGTGTGACTCCTGGGTGCTTGAGCTGCCAGCAGGGTCCCGGCTTATGTACGAGTTGGAACTCTTTCTCTGTCACCCTTCTGTCACAGCCATGCCCTGCCACCTCTGTCTCCCTCCTGCCTCCTACCCCCCCCCCCCCCCAACAGCCAGCTGTGGGACTGGGCAGCTGACGGACAGGACGGTGGTGTGTGCTGCCGGGAAGGAGCATACCGTCAAGGGATGGGGTGTACTTTTACGGAGAGTGTTATTGCTGGCTGCCGCTGGAGCTGAAGCAGGCTCTCCTGTCCAAGGGGGTTCAAGTGCCTCCTGCTGAGTGCTCTGAATGTCCTTTTGATCACGTCTGCAAAATAAGCAAATACGGTTTCAAAATAAACGGAGCTCGCCGCATGGGTTTCATTATGAAATGGCCTCAGTACTCCCGCCACCAGGGGATCCCTCTAATTGGCCGCTGGTGACGTTAGTGGCTCATCCCTCGTCCAGGGACAAAGCATGGGAACGACCTTGCGTCGTCCTCTCTTTTTGTTGCTGTTGCTTTCATTGGAGGGGGTGCATCCCAGGGAGACCGTTTCCTTTCTTGGTGCTTGGATTCTGTTTGCACATCATGGCGGCGACCATGAGTTAGCATCATCCTACGAGAGGCTTCCGGAAGCCACGTTAGGGTGACATTTGGTTTTTGTGAGTAGTTGACCGTGGTCACATATTTCTGTGTTAGTCTATAGAATAAGGAGGGGACTACTGGTCAAAGCATTTCTTCCTAGGATCAGGCAGTGCCATCTCAAGGTCTCTCCCTTTCTGGCAAAGTGGCTGGAGTATTCTAGTAGGAGCACTAGCTGTGTGGTTGGAAAATTCCGTCCTGTGCGGCTTACTAGCTGCTTGCCATCAGCAAAGCCACTTCATCCTGTTCCTGCAACTATAAACGGGTGTAACTGTGATGCTCACAGGCTTGTTTTGAGGACCAAGCAAGATACCCCGTGTGTAGCTTCATATACTGCTGAGCACCGTGCAGCGAGTCAGAGCGGCAGCTTTCGAGTTGAGTAGCCTGGAATTTGAATTGCAACTCTGCCCCTAACTAATGGCAGTATTTTGGATAAAGTACTTGCCTGAGCGTCAGTTTCCTCATCTGTCCCGTAGGGATGCCGGTCCTGTCTGTGGGGCATTAGTCCACTTGTCCATTTTTTCACTGAGTATTTCCTGAGCAGCTACTGTGTGCCATGCCTCGTGCCCAGTCCTGGGGAGTCCGTGGCAAATGTGAGGATTTTAGACCTCAAGTCTTCGTGTCCAAAGCACCTGCACAAATGGCTGGCCACCGGAGAGGACATTGAACAGGGAGTCAGTTGCTGGGAAGGTGCCTGGGATCTGGCGAGTGGGGGCCGGGCCATCGCTAGAGAATTGGGTCCTGGTCTGAGGGACACACTTCTAAGGGTTTGTGCCTTCCACCCTGGTAACTTTCTCAGTGGATTCTTGCTGCCACCTGCCCTGGGAGCTCTCAAAATGAAATGGAGTCTTTACAAGGCCTGGAATGCGAGCCTCTGGCTTGGGGATTGGCTTCTGTGGGACAGTGTGACCTCTTGGTCCCATGATGTAGTCCCAGAAGTGATAAGGCACATAGCTTCCTATGGAGTCATAGAATTTCCCAATGGAGGAGAAGAATAGTTAGAATTCTGAAGGCAATTGTTCTGGGAACAATGGGGCAGGAGCCCGGGGGAATGGCTCATTTGCATGAACCTAGGGCAATTGTGTTGGGCCTCAGGCCCCCCAGGCCCTAGCCCTTATATCTGCACTCCCTGTCCATCTGGAGGTGAATAGCAGACACATAGAACATTATAAAAGTTGAACTGTCGGTCATGGTTTTTTTCCCTGCCTTTTCCTTAAGAGTCTCTACTCCCAGCATTGCCCAAGGTGAAACACACAAGACAGAAACCAAACCTCCCCATTCCCCAACATGAACTCTTCCTTCTGTTTGTTCAAGGGCTGCTGCTGGAATCTGAGAATCCTAGAGCTTGAAGAACGCTGAGGGTCATTTTCCGACCCTCTTGACTGCATGACGAAGGCTCAGGAGGTCTAGGTGATGCGCCCTAGATTCACGCGATCACGCGCAGTGAATCCGAGGGGGCTTCCTGTGTCTCTGTTTCCGCAGAACGTGGCCCAGCACTTGCCACACGGCGGGTACCCTTAAGTTGTTTGGATTTGGGTTGAAGGGATGACAGCCAGGATTGCAACTCCCATGTTTGACTTCTGGGCAAATTCTTTTTCATCATTTCACATGCACTCCCCAGGTTTCTTTTCTTTCTTTCTTTCTTTTTTAAAAAATATGTTTCAGCTGGTGTTGAGTTGTCTTCCGGCTGTATCTGCCTGGCTCCTCTGTTCCTGACTAAGCACTTTGCTGGAAACATACTTAGAAAGGGCTTTGGTGGCAGAGGCAGCAGACACGTGGCCACACGCCAGCCTCCGTGTTCCGGAGAGTCCATGGCATTGGCGTCTGGACCGGAGGGAAAAAGCCAGTGGGGTGTGAGCAGCCGGGTCCCTCTCGGAGCCCTGCTGGTTTCTCCCTAGCTGTGGTTCCTTCTCCTGGATTTCAAAGCCGGGGAGCGGGGGCTTTTGCCCGAGAAGCCTCCAAACATCTACTGGCTTAAACATGTCGCATGCCGCTGTGTGAGCCATGTAGCTCATTCTCCCCTCTTCTCTGCCTGATGTTGGTTCGCAAAGGGCACATCTGGCATTGGAAATTATTTATCTGGCCACTGTGAGAGGGCGTGGCTTCTAAAAATATTCACATAGTCTGTTGGCAGAAAGAATGAGAGCAATGTGCCTCTTTGGGCTGCATTCCGTACTGCGGAGAGGCCTGTTAAAGCCTCTATGGAGTAAGCCTATGTCTACCAAAATAGACACCCGGCATAGCATTAATTTGCAATTAATAAAAATGGGCCAGATTCACATCCCACTCTCTGGGAGAATGGAATGCCGACAATTCCCATAGAAGGGTCCTGTAAAAATGCCTTAGGACAGAGGAGGTCCAAGCACTGGGGTCAGTTCGCCTCCTCAGAGAGGGCTGGGAATTTGGTGAGCTCCCAGGGCTCAGAGTAGAGGGGCCTAGGGGAGATGGCCTGTTGCCCCTGATGACAATGGACCCTCAGCGGCTCTGGACAAGAAAAGAAGCTTTGAATGGCCAGGGCCAAGATGAGATAGAAATCTCTGAGGCTTAACAAGGCCATTCGGGGCAGCTCAGGATATGGCCTCCGGGCTTTGATTACATGCGTGTGAGAACTCTGCATTCGTGCATTAATTAAGCTGTTTATTTGTTCACTCACCCATTTATGTGTGTGTTTGTGTGTATGCGTGTCTCCACGCGTGGCTGCGTTCACTCATCTATTCCTGCACTTACTCGTTCAGCAAATTGCAGGTGTCCTATGGGCAGTACATATTGGACCACAGACATGTACTAAGTTCCTACTGTGTACTTGGCCCCATGCCAGATGCTGGGCTTTAACAGCGAGTCAGAGGGCCAGGTCCTTGTCTCCTTGGAGCTCACAATCTCACGGTTGTTAAACCAGCATAATGAGCCGTGAGAAGGATACAGAGGTGAATGAGGAAGATAAGGGGCTGCGTTAGTGGACTTAGAATTCCAGCTGGGGACACAGGCGACAGACAGATACAGAGTGTAGTTGTCTGGTGGGGAGGAGAATCTGGCTTTCGCATACATGGTTCCCTGTGTTTGGAATACTCTTCCCGCAGCTCTTTGCCTACCTCTCCTTTCAGTCTCAGCTTGCACGCCTTTTCTTTCAGGAAGGCTTGTCTGATCCTCCTTTCTTGGCAAGACCAGATGGCCCTGCTGTGTGCCTCATAGTACCTGTATAATGTGTTCGGGAAGTGCTGAGCAGGAGGTAGTGATTCTGTTAATTATAAAAGGGCCAAGAAGCCTTTGCTGAGGCAGTGGTGATTGAACTGGGTTTTGAAGGATGGGTAGGAGTTTGATAGAAACGTGCTGACAGCCTTCTACAGAGAAGGAGCAGCAAGCACAAGGATAGTGCATGGAGGCTGGAAAAGGAAAGTAATCTTCATTGAGCCTTTGCTAGAAGCCAGAGTCCTGTGGCAAGCCTGCCACATGCTTTACATCATTTGGATCTCAGAGTGTCTCCACTGGGGTGGGTCTGATTATCCCCCTTTTACAGATGAGGAGGCTCGTGCAGCTAATATTAGCAATGCGGCCGGCTGCAAACCTAAGGCCATTCAACTCTATAAACACCCAGGCACCTGATAAATTCTACCCTCTATGGCTATTACCCAGCTTTGCCCCATATCTAGGAAAGCATCACACAAAGGCACTATTTTTGGCCTTTGCTTCAGTCTGCCTTACCTTGTCTGTAGGCAACTTGTAGACAGTTGTTCCTGGGATGGACTCTTCAAGTGCTGTTGGTAGACGACGACCAGGCTGCCAGAGTCATGGTGGCCAGAACAGCCGCATAGGGATGGCCCCGTCGAATGTGTGGTGAGCCGTGATGGGTTGCTCATTAGCATTCCCTGAGAAGTTGCTTCTTGGAGGTGCCCTCAGTTTAGGACTTTCACAGATCGCTTGGGGTTGGTCATTTCCCAGCTGGTGTGGAAGCTGCTGGTCCACAGACCTCAGTGGAACTGGGAAGGATTAGTGAGCTACCTAAGTTCAGTGCTGGTAAGAGATAGGGCTGGGATTTGAACCCAGACCCTCAAACCCTTCTTCCCGTATTTCTTCCTTCGTGCAGAACAGTCTCTCACTCTGAGCATGCCTGTTCTGGAAGTGGGTGATGATAATTTCCCTTTGGCTCTTGGTGGGCACTTGTTCTTAGCAAACAATTGTTCAGCAGACCAAACCACGCGCCGCATCATGTAATCTAGAGTCGGTCATCCCAGGACTGTTCCAGGGGTTTCTCATTCCTGTTCTTCCCTCATGCAGCTTTCTGAGGTGGGTTCTATTATTATTCCCATTTTGCAGGGGAGGCAACTGAGTGACTTGGCAGGTCCCAACCATCACCCACTAGTGCCACGTCCACAGTTAGCCCCAGGTTCTTCTGATCTGTCCAGCCCACTCCCTTTCCTCTCAGACACTGCAAATGACCATCTGACCATTGCTTCCATGATCCTCCTCATCAGCATTTTCCCCCAGCGTTTACCCACCAGCAAGCAGATGCTTCCTTTTTCATCCTGTGAGCTCACAGCGATTATTCACAGAGATCCGGGGTTAACCGCCACCCTCCCCTTTAGGTACCGCGTATAAGGCGACTCATACAATATTTACCCTTTCGTGTCTGGCTTATTTCACGTACCTGAGAGTCTTCCAGGTGCATCTGTGTTGTAGCGAGGCTAATTGTTTGGAAATGTGAACAATCACTTCCTACCACATCTTTCTACCTTTGATTTTTATCCAGCAGGGCACACCACTAAGAGGGCTTGATAATAATGAAAACTCCAAAAATTAAGGACCTGCATGTTGTCTTCTCAGATTCTTTTCTGGGGCCCAGGCTGAACAGGGTATCAGCCCAGTGTGGGGATGTGACTGTGAGCCAATATGGGGCAGGGGAACAGTCCCATCACCAGCAAAAAGTCAAAGTAGTTACCCGTCTCCAAAGGTTACTGGTGTGTCAGCAAAATACAACTTTAATTCAGTTATTTTCATCTTATTATGTTTCAAATCAGTATTTCCCAAATTCCAGCTTTTTCAAATGTCCCAAATTTCTTTTCTTCCACTCTCTTAATGGTTTCTGCCTTTCCGTCGTATCTTCTGTGCTATTTTACTTCGTATTTTTATTTAGTTCAGTTCACTTGTAAAAAGTGTATTTGGAAAAGAAGCCTTAAATAGTTACTTGAACTTGAAAGCCGGTTTTGTTTTGAGTATCCTGAGGTTGATAAAGCTATGGATACAGATTTAAGGGTGGGGAGCAAATATTTATGGAGGCCAATGTCTGTTCTAAGCATTTCACATTCTCTTTGTCATGTAATTTTCACCTTGACATTGTGGAAGTGGGCACTGCTCCAACATCTTATCTTATCTTATCTTATCTTATCTTATCTTATCTTATCTTATCTTGACTTATCAGAGAGAGAGAGAGAGAGCATGAGCTGGGGAGGGGCAGAGGGAGAGAGCGAGAGAATCCCAAGCAGGATCCCTTGCTGTGAGCAGAGTCTGACACAGGGCTCAGTCTCACGAACCATGAGATCATGACCTGAGCCATAACCAAGAGTGGGTCGTTCAACCACCTGAGCCACCCAGGTGCCTCCCTACCTCCATTTTACAGATGAGAAATTGAGGCTTTGAGAAGTTTTATAACCAGTGGCCATTTCTGCTCTTACAGTCGATAGACACTCCCTATGGTATGAAATCTTAGAGCTGGAGCCTAAGTCTAGGTGGTTCAGGGTTTGAGAACTCTGTGTGTGTGTGTGTGTGTGTGTGTGTGTGTGTGTGTAGATTAATATTTCTTTTCCGTTGAAGTGCCAAGAACACAGACTAATCTACATTTCTATTAATCTTCTGTCAGTGGCAATGACAGTTTTACTGAGAGAGGCTGATAAACATCAGTCTAAGAGGATGGGAGTGGTCGCTAACATAAACATGCTTCTCAGGATGGCTGCAGAGAAAGCAAGGGCTCCCAGACGTGGAGACCTCTGGTGCGAGTGTGTGCATGCAGGGATTTGCACGCTGTGGTGGCGGGTGCCTCTCACGCGTGTATTAGGGAACCGCGGACGTCGCAGGGTAGGAACGGGGTGTGTTTTCCTCAGGACACACGCTGTGCTGTGTCTGCACCTTGCCTCGACCTCGGCTGCAGAGGACGAAGCCCTGGGACTTCAGAACAGGCTCCAGGGCATCCAGCCATTCCGTTCCTTCTCTGATCGACAGGGCACACTTCATAAGCTTCCAACCAACTTCCTGCAAGCAAATCGGAGGCCTTGATAAGAAAATGGAATTCAGGGCAATTAAGTGCAATGTGAGCCCAGAGAATGCGTTTTCTGAGCGTGGTTATACACCAGCTGCTTTCAATGACATTCCATTCATTCATTCAGGGACAACTTTTAGAAAATAGGCTTATTCTGGGGGCTGCATTCAAGACAGAGCCTCCGTGCCATTGGGGCCCGGCTGCGCTCTGGGCATGTGAATCACTCAGCCTATTTATAAGCCCCAAATGGAAATCGGCTTGGAGAATGACAGAAGCTCAGCTCGGAAGGCTAGGGTGAAGCTTGCAGATTATCGGGGGGCAGTCTTTTGCATGCAGTGGATTGAAGCTTTAGACGTATGGGGTCTACATTGCCACCTCCTAGTCAGCTCTCCTGAAATGCATCACTTTGTCTCCTTAAATCTGGTTCCTCACCTGTTTAAAAAATTGTGTTTAAATATCCATAGCATGAAATTTGCCATTTTAACCATTATTTAGCTGCACAATTCAGTGGCATGCAGTACATGTGCATTGTTGTGTAAATGGGGTTTTGGATGAGATTAGAGACGGGAAAGTGCTCAGAACAGTGCACGATAATTGGAGGTTGTTCAGTAAGTGGTGACTAACTTCCTCTTCTCCTTCTTCCCCTTTTCCCCTTCCCCTCCCTCTTCTCCTTCTCCTCCTGCTTTTCCTTCTTCATTTTTCTATTAATTATCTTGTGTTTTTCAAAGTATTTTGCCTATTGGCATGACAAGAATTTCTTGGGTGGGGAGGGAAGGTGTGGAACATGCCACCTGCCTCGGGGACTCGGAGTCTAACAGGCAGGGAGAATTTATACATATGACGTATGTGTATACACACATACATAAATGTACATCATATATTATATATGGGTGTGTATATATGTGATATACATTTTTATGCACGCGTGCACACACACATACACACACAGAGGACTGCCACAGGGGTGAATGAAACAAGGACAGAAGACAGTGATTCTGAGGGATGTGCAGTACCAGAGAATCAGGGTTAGGTAAAACATTTGTGTGGAGCCTGAAGACTTAAAGGTTTACTTTCATGTTCTCATCTCGATTGATTGTTTTTTTTCTTTTTTTTTTAATTCTGACAATAGTCCTGTGATCTAGAATAGGAAAGGATCCTGGGTTCCCATTTTCTGGTGCTTAAACTGAGGCTCAGAGTAGTTAAGGGACCTGTTCCATGTCACACAGAGGGCTGGTGGCAGAGTTTGGGCTGATGTTCGATGACTCAAAACCCAGGGCTCTGGGTCCATTTCATCCAGGGTCACAAAGTTGGCAAAATACGGTTCTGGTCAGAGTGTGGGCAGATAAAAAGGTCGGGGTATCAGCGGCACTGGTCGGGGTTTTCCAAAGTGTGATATGCTCTGTGGATGCAAAGTGAGTTTAGGTAAGCCACAGATGGACAATTTCCAGATTAATAGTTGTGAACTTCAGTGTGTATCAGGAACATCAAGGCTGTGCTTTTGTGGCTATTTCTCAGGGCAGGTCTAACCTGCAGTGAAGATAAAGTCCAAGCAGGGGGTGGGCAGATGTGACAGATTATGGTGGGTGTCAGGGACTGCAGCGGGAAGTGACTGGCCCAGTCCTGTGGACTGCTTTCTTTATGACGACTAAGGACTGGAGAGAAAACGGTGACCCAGCAGGCAGGCCTGCCCAGGCGCTCAGATGATCCAATGGAGACACTCACTGGAATGTTAACCTGCCTCTCTGGGTCTTGCTTCTCTTTGTAGATTGCTGATTTTGGGCTTTCCAACCTGTACCAGAAGGACAAGTTCTTGCAAACATTTTGTGGGAGCCCACTCTATGCTTCTCCTGAGATTGTCAATGGGAGACCTTACCGGGGGCCCGAGGTGAGCAAGCTATTGGTGTGTGTGGTGGGGGGAGGGGGGGTTGGATGTGGGAGAGGAAAGGGAGGAGGGAGGACGAGAATTGGATCTAAGAAATACTTAAGAACAAACAAAAAGGCATGCCAGCAAAGAAAATGTTTCCTTATATGATTATAAAAGCCATAATATAGACACCTGGGAGAAAATTTGAGAAATCCAGAAAATAAAGTTACCTTAACATTTTTGTAACTTCTCTTATAGACTTTTCTCTAATGTAGATCTCTGCATTTCAAAAGACTAATTGCAGTCATTATGTATATGTGTGTACCTATGTGTATCTGGCTTTTTATTAACTTAAAATCATATTGTGACATTTTCTGAATTTGTTATTACTAAAAGCATGGTTTCTGATGGCGACATGTTTTATTGTATGAATATACCATAACTTAATCACTTCCCTAGATTAAGACAAATTGTTTTTAGTTTTTCTCTGTTAGAACAAATCAAAAAACAACCCCCCAAACCCCTAACTCTGCAGTGACTATCTTTCAGCATATATTTTTGACAGCATGTATTTTCGACTAAGGAGATACAATTTTAATCGCACCTTCTAATTTACGAGAAATGCATTTATTTCCTTATATGCCTAAAGGTCTCAGGGCCACTGTGAGAGATGCATATGTGTAAATGCTATTCTGAAAATGCATGAGTTGTGAGTGATTATTCTCTTTAAAAGGATGGTTCTCTTTACAGAGAGATCCATCCGCTCGTTATCCCTTAAATAGCAGCTGCTCAGTGGGTTGAAATGTTTCCTTCCAAATATTTATCTGTTTGAGAGTGTTTAAGGCAGGGCTGGAGGGTGAAAGAAGGATGCCAAGGCCCCCTACCAATTGTAGTGAAAGGAAAGTCTTTCTAAAATAAGACTGTAAGGGAGGAGCATCTGACTCAACTTACAAAACTCTAAAAACTTGCCACTCTACATTTATCAGAGGTAATAAATGCTTCCTTGATCTGCGATGATCTCTTTCTAAGCTGGCAGCCTGTGATCTGGCCAGCAAGCAGGCTTTATTTGGCCACATTAGTCTTTCTAAAAGAAAGTTGACCAAACCTTTAATAATTGGGAGATTTCATGTCAAAGTCTGGTTTCTGACTTCTCCTGAAAAACCAGATCTAGCAGTGTTGGGCATACATGACTATTCAATTGCAGTTTGCCAAGGGGGGGCTGCCTCCTTAAGGTGGATCAATGCATCGTATAATTTGTCTCCATCCCCAGCACACCATGTTGTACCCCAGATTCTCTCTTGCTTTGTTCATGTTTGTTGCATGCCTGGCTCTCGTAAGCAATTGAGTCTGCAGCCCGTGATCCATCTGAAGAAGGTGCAGGAAGGAATTAATTCCTGGATTCAGAGTGAAGAGTCCTGTGGCCCAGTCTTGTACCCATCACGTTGGCAGAGAGGGGCTCTGGGGAAATATCATTTAGCTTTCTTGTGCCTTAGTAGTCTCATCTGTCAAATGGGGTTGAATATAACCCAGGCCCTCCCTGCTTCACAACATTATACTGAGGCTCTGAGAAGATAATCTTTTTAAGAAAGTCCTCACCCAGATCGGTACTGTGGGTCTCTGTTGGAAATGGAAAGGTCAGGCTCTGAAGCAGCCCCCAGCTGCATTGCCTATCAGGCTGTGGGGTTGGGAACCTGTGTGCCAGGTGCTACATTCAGTTCCTGGGGTCGTTGTGGGTGGCTGCTCACAGGCTGTGAGGCCGATGGATTGGAAGGCATCCCGGAACCTGCTTCTGAGCTCCTCTCTGTCCCGTCTCTCTGCTCCAGGTGGACAGCTGGGCCCTGGGCGTGTTGCTTTACACTCTCGTGTATGGAACGATGCCCTTCGATGGTTTCGATCACAAAAACCTCATTCGGCAGATCAGCAGTGGAGAGTACCGGGAGCCCACGCAGCCCTCAGGTGCGTGCCCTCGGAGGGTCAGAGGCTGAGCGGGAGTGGTTGGCTTCCCTGCCCCCACTCACACTTGCTGCTTCTGTTTTAATGTCTGTCAGCCGTCTCCTGCTTTCCCTCTCTTTTCTCCTCTTCAGTTTTTTGCCTTTTGACAAGGCTGGCTGGCTAGGCTGCTCTGCCCAAACCTTCCCAAATGGAATTTCTAGAGCAAATGTTCTATACAGTAGGCAGGCTGGGAGTTCTGCTTGCGTGAACCTGGGCAAGTCCCTTGACATTTGGATTCAGTCTCTCCACTGTTAATTAAAATTTTGGGAGAGGGGCACCTGGGTGGCTCAGTCCATTAAGCGTCCGACTTCTGCTCAGGTCATGATCTCATGGTTTGTGGATTCGAGCCCCGGGTCAGGGTCTGTGTTAACAGCTCAGAGCCTGGAGCCGGCTTTGGATTCTGTCTCCCTCTTTCTCTGCTCCTCCCCCCCTACTTTCTCTCTCTTTCTCTAAAATGAATAAATATTAAATTTTTTTTTTAAATTTTGGAAGAGATATCCTATGAAGTCCTTTCTAGCAGTCATATAAACCACCTTCACTAGACTCCATGCCATGAGCTCTTTTTCACGGCTGTTCCCCGGGGCATGTGCTATGGCCATGATAACGGCTTCATTATTTATTGCTGTCGCAACTCTACTCTCCCCCCACCACTCCAAGTAAATTCGGTGGTTTGTTTTATTTATTTATTTTTTTATACTGGACGTTTGCTAAATGCTCTCATCACACACGTACACACACACACACACACAAATGGTTTAACTGTATCAGGAGATGAATTAATTGGTTTGACTGTGGTAATCATTTAATTATATATGTATATATATATGCATACCGATCAGCATGTTATACACCTTAAATATATCCAGTTTTAAAATTTTTCCTGAAAAAGACAGTGCTAACAAAGTCAGCTGAGCTGAATATACAAAGGCAGGGGAAATTTACCCTGAGAGAATAATGCATTCTGTCCTGAATTACGGTTACTTATCCAAAGCAGGAGAAGAACCATACACATCTTCAGAAACAGTAGCTACTTAGGGTTTAGAAGGATCTGGGTCTCTAATATTCTTACTTATGAACAATTACCAAAACATGTCTAGCTAATGGTTTCTGAATTAGCTCTTTTCTTTGTATGTGTAGGATGAAAATAGATGAGCTGGGTCATGAAGGATTCTGGATATTTCTTCTTTCATGAAGTTTTTCTGATCTGTTTTATTACTTTGGATAATAAATTTAATTCAGTTCCTGATGTTTCCTACAAAATAAAACTGAATCACAAAATAAAACCTTTAGTAATCAATAAAAAGAAAAAATTTGGTGGTTTAAACAGCAACTAAGTCAACCAGGTACCATATCTCTCGATTCCCTGGGGTGGCTAGAGCTCTCCTGGCCATGCTTGGGTTTCTCGGACAGTTGTGTTCAGATGGCCACTGGGCTGAGTCTGGCTATAGGACAGCTGCTCAGTGCTCGTCCGCATGGGCTCCCCTCCACGAAGTCCCTCCCCAGGCCTCTCTCCCCAGGAGGAAGCCTAGACTTCATACATGACAACTCAGGACTCTTAAGACAGAGAAAGAAGAAGCTTCCAGGCCTTTTTCATGTCAGCCCTGGGAAGCCAAATAACGTCACTTCTGCCGTGTTCTGTGGGTCAAAGCAGCCATGATAATAAGCTTCTTCTCTTGATAGGAGAAGGTCATGTGTGGATGGAAAGTGTGTGTACAGGTGGCCATGTTTGAAATATAGTTAACACGGACCTTCATAGATAGACATGCTATACACACACACACACACACACACACACACACACACACACACAGTTATTCTCATTCTTCCCAGTAGTTATGTTCTACAAAGTTGCTATGAACACTGAATTAGTGAATAATGAAGCACGACTCTGAGGAGAAATACAGGGTTCAATCTCTGGTCACAACATTTTTGTCACCTGATCAGTATATGACCTTGTTTTATTTATATTTCTGGTTTAAAGCCACCTCATTGAAAATATTTTGTTGATTCATTAACATCAAACTCCTAGCCAACAGCGCTATGACTCAGACCTGAATGAAGTCTATCTAACACACATATTTTCTCCATAAGGTACATCACAGCTTTCTGGAACTTAGGAACCATAGACGGTACTTTAGCACTACACAGTGAAGTCACCACAAAAAAAAAATATGAAATCCATGGACTATACAGTCTGTAAAAGCACACATTTTTATAGTGTGAGAGTGGAAATGAGAAGGCAAGGCGTCAGCGCCTCCTTTGAACTCAGCTGGGAACACACATACATGCTGGGTGACTCAGATTTTTGCCACTTTGCGAATGTATATAAATGACGGGGAAAGTTCCCGGGAATTGGTTTGGGAGTTATAAATATCTTTTAGTGAGCAAGACAACTGATAATACTGAATCTGTGACGAATGAGGGTTGACTGTTGATGGTTGTGTTATACATATATGTATATGCTTATTTATTTATTTAAATAGGCCAGTCCGTTTTCTTTCTTTTTTTTTTTCCTAGAAATTTCCAGGTGACTCTCATGGCAGTCTTATTTGCCTCATCGGCTAACCAACACACAAACACGGTTCCTGGCACATTGCAGGAATTTAGAAGATATTTCCTGAACGTCTGAAGGGAACGATCATCCTGTTACTTTTCAGGGATGTAGCTCACCCCTGGTCTCATTCCCTGGCCCCCACCAAGCTACTCATTAGCCTACACGAGCGGCTGAGAGGAGGTGGGGCTTTCCCAGGATCTAATTCAACTCCCATTGGGGGAGCACAGTTTGATCTTAAAAGTCAATTTACAAGCTGTGAGAGTCAGTTGGTTCCTGTGGCCTCCTCAGCATCCCTTCGGGCCTTTCCCCTGATTCTCTGGCAGCAGAAATTTGCACATGGAATGTCTCAGCCAAGCTGCAAGCGGAGAGCAGATCTAGATGAGCTCTCGCATCTGACAGCTGGGTAGGCTACGGCTTATGTCAGAGAGGGAGAGGAGGTGAGCTCACCGGGTGTGGGTCTCAGAACCTGGCCAATGCCCGGAGTCAGGCCAGCCTTGGGGATGCCCCTCTCACCGCCCAGATATACTAGATGTGAGCCCCTCTCCACCCTTCTCTGTCTTTCCTTCTCTGGTGACGAGACTTGTTCTCACCATCTCAGCCCTGAACTTCCTTTTCCTGCTGACACACTTTCCCCATGACCTTGAGCACTGTGTGTTTCCACAAGCCTACCTTGGAGGTCTAGAGAAAAGTCATGGTAACCTCTACCTGTTTTCCCTTTTGGTAAGATGATACCCACCAGAGGACTGGCGGGGCCCTGCTTGGGTTCGGGTCTGGAATCTGTGCTGGTTACCTGGACTTCCCCATTTCATGGAGATCTGAGCTGATGGAGAGCGTGCTAGTTCTGGGACACTCCTTTACTTCTATGGAAAAACGTGCCAGGATGTGACAGCACACTGGCCTGTGGTTCTGCATCCTGATGATGCTTTCGATGTACTGTCTGGAAGACGCTGGCTCCTGCTCCCTAGTGGTGCTGGACCAAGTCTCCCACTGGAGTGAGCGTGTCTCCTTACCCCTGCAGCGGTGGCCCCGTCAAGGCCAAAGGCTTCCGGGTAACATATCATTCTTCTCTGTCCCCACAGATGCTCGAGGGCTCATTCGGTGGATGCTCATGGTGAACCCCGATCGCCGGGCCACCATCGAGGACATCGCCAATCACTGGTGGGTGAACTGGGGCTATAAGAGCAGTGTCTGTGACTGTGACGCACTGCACAGCTCCGAGTCACCGCTCCTGGCTCGCATCATCGACTGGCATCACCGTTCCACGGGGCTGCAGGCTGAGGCCGAAGCTAAAATGAAGGGCCTGGCCAAACCCGGGGCCTCGGAGGTCATGCTGGAGCGGCAGCGGTCGCTGAAAAAGTCCAAGAAAGAGAACGACTTTGCCCAGTCCGGCCAGGACTCGGTGCCCGAAAGCGCATCCAAGCTGAGTTCCAAGAGGCCCAAAGGGATCCTGAAGAAGCGGAGCAACAGTGAACATCGCTCCCACAGCACGGGCTTCATCGAAGGCGTGGTCAGCCCTGCCTTGCCTTCTGCTTTCAAGATGGAGCAGGACTTGTGCCGGACTGGTGTGCCCCTCCCCAGCTCCCCCGAGGCAGAGGCGCCAGGTAAACTCAGCCCCAAGCAGTCAGCCACGATGCCCAAGAAGGGCATCTTGAAGAAGACCCAGCAGAGAGAGTCAGGGTACTATTCGTCCCCTGAGCGCAGCGAGTCTTCAGAGCTGTTGGACAGTAACGATGGGCTGGGCAGCAGCATCCCGTCCCCCAGCCCCCCAGCCCCAGCCAGGGGCACGTCTCACAGCCTCTCCTGCCGCAGGAAGGGCATCTTGAAACACAGCAGCAAGTACTCAGCAGGGACCATGGACCCGGCCCTCGTCAGCCCCGAAACGCCCACACTGGAATCCTTGCTGGAGCCTGGAGTCCCTGCCGAAGGCCTCTCCCGGAGCTACAGCCGGCCCGACAGCGTCATCAGCGACGACAGCGTCCTGTCCAGCGACTCCTTCGACTTGCTGGATCTGCAGGAGAATCGCCCTGCCCGACAGCGCATCCGCAGCTGCGTCTCTGCTGAAAACTTCCTCCAGATCCAGGACTTCGAGGGGCTCCAGAACCGGCCGCGGCCCCAGTACCTGAAGCGGTACCGGAACCGGCTGGGGGACAGCAGCTTCTCCCTCCTCGTGGACATGGACGATGTGACTCAGGTCTACAAGAAAGCGCTGGAGATCTGCAACAAGCTTAACTAGCTCCCCGGGGCACAGGGGGTGGGTCGTGGGTGGGCTTGGGGAGAGGAGTCGGAGCGATGACGTGTGCCTGTGAGCCGGTTACCTCTTTGCTGGCCGTGACAACAGACTGAAGAAGGATTGGTGCCATCTTGCTTGGCCAAGTCTGCAGCCTTGCGCCGGCACCTGAAAGGGAGGAGTGGGCTCTCCGCCAGCCCTGCCGACTGCCAGTCAGAATTTGGGTCCTAATTGGCATTTACTTTGCGGCACCTCCCAGAGGACCAGCTGTCCCGGGGAGGTGGTGGTGGCCAGCGCTACGAGGGTGGCGGGGGGAAGCATATGGGAGATGCTTTCCCTAAACCTTGTCCAAATGCTTCAGGAAGAGGGGCAAGAGAGACTGGGGCCATCTGCTTGGGGTGAGCTCAGAGCTTGCTTCTCTCCTCCTCAGTTAGCAGGCGTGGTCTGACTGCATGGGGTTGGCAAGTAGATTTCAGCAACCTGAACTTGAAACGGTGATTCGTTGATAGTGGCTGCTGGGGGTGCTGGTTTGAGTAGCCTAGACACAATGGGAAGGAGTGTTGTGATGGAATGGCAGTGGTGCCATGGGATTGGGAAAAGGGGACGGTAGCGCTCATGCCATGTAGTTGCCGTCCTGGACTGGCTCAGCCCTGGGAGTATTGGGTCAAGGCATCCTGTAGGGTCTGTGTCCTTCATGCCGCTAGTACGACCTTTGTTAATTTGCTACTCTGCCTGGAATGGAAGACAGGGCCTCGGTCAGAGAGAGAATGCTCTGAACACTGCTAAGGACTTAGAAGAGTCAGCCCGTGGTGATTTTTGGGCTTTTTGCCCAAAAAGAGGTCTGCCACCTCTTTCCTGATGTCTGCCTTGCTCTTCAGCACAGCCTCCCGAGGATGGACAGGGAACAAGTTGGTGGTGTCAGAGGTCAACACCATGGTGTGTAACAGAGCTTGGGACCCTCTGTGGTCTTTGTGCAGATGAATGGAAATTGCTCCACACCGGCAAGGGGGCAACTTGTTGATTTCTTTAACATCTCACTCTTAACTGGAATGCTGCCTCTTGGTTCTCACCTGCATGAATTGGATGTGATGCTCTTCATAGGAGTAACTGGCTCAACCATTTACCCTGTTTTCTAATAGCAGATGGTTTCCCCTTCCACCAAGTGTAGAATTTGCAGAGGCAGATGAATTTGCTTCTAGGGAGTTCGTGGGTAGGTGGGATATTTGGATGAGGAAAGGAAAGTTAGGCGGAAGGTACCCCCCTCCACCCCATATCTAAGTATTCTGTCATGGGTTTGAACTCCTAGGCTTTGAGGGAAAAGAAAGTTGTATCCATTCAAACGAATAAGGTGTTGAAAGAGCAGAGTGAGTTGGGAGAAAGCATACGGGAGAGGGAACATTTCCCAAGAAGCCATCCAGATGGTTTTGGAGGAGGTAGGAAAGAGATATGGTAGGACTCTTAAGTTGAAAAGTAATGTAACTAGGGATTTAACTTCTAGACACCCAGATTACAGGTGATAAGATGTCAGTCCCTCAGTGGGACATCTTCAGATACTGGGTATGGAATTAATGGTCTCTTTGGGGGTATTTGGGATGATTTCAGATCCTACTGGCCTGGGAAAATTGAACCCTTTGATTCAAGATGGCCGGCCTCTGGTAGCCACATAGACATATAAGGAGGATTAGTCTTGGGGGGTATTTTTGGAAAAACTAATAGACAGTAGTTCATAAAGAGATGAGAAAGAATTCACCTTAAGGCACTGAGAACATTCATTGGAATGAAACTGCCCTTTTCTTGAGGAGATGGCTACATTTGTCCCCTGCTCTGGGGTTGTGGCTTGTGCATGCCTTCCGGGTGAGCTGAGTGGTGCATTACGGGAAGCTTCTTGGTTTTCTTTCATTCAATTCCACCTCCTTCCTGAACTTCAGTATAGGTTCAAAGGGAAAAAAATCTGTAGATACCAAATTGTGTGTGTGGGGGGGGACTTGTGGGTGCATGGGGGGCACCCTGAGGCCTCTGAGCTCCCCACTCCTTGTCCCATTTTATGCAACCTTTCCTGAACAGCCTATACTGCCACAGCGCTGGTCTGTCATGCATGGCCGCTGGCCGGCCTAGTTGATGGCTGTCAGTATGACTAAGGTATAAATAACACCTACCTACTGGTTGATGTGTTTTTTCCTTTTGCCAAGTGATTGTATTTGTTTAATATTTTCCATCCTCCTAAAATGACACTATTGAGGAAAATCACTCTGCTTCTCCTCCTCCCCCCAAAGCCCCACACATGCGTGTTCTCTTTTGTCAATAAACACCGACAGTGGATGTGGCAAAGACAGCCCTCCACTCAGAGGCAGAGATTCTGAGCTGAGTCCTGGTGTGCTGCTAACCAGCTGGTGGCCTTAGGCACCTGCAGTGTTTTGAGGGCTACATTCTCCCCTTAGCGAAGGCTGGAGGAGTGGATTAGCCAGTCTCTCAGGCCCTGCCTGGTTCCGACATCCTGCTAACATCCTGTGATTCTAGATGCCCATGGTGACTCTGTCCTTTCAAGGAAAACGTTGGAATAGAGAGACAAGCCCTTGACAAGCAGCTCCCCTGCTTCCTCATTAAATCGTATCATCCCTACCAGCCAATCCCCAACCAAGGAAGTCATGCTTGATTCATTTCCAGTGAATTTACAAGTGAGAGACACTTTCATGACCTGGTGGACCAAGCAGGGGACTGCATGCCAGCTCTCCTGGTCCTTTCCCTGCCTCTGTGGGCCTGGGTGTCTTCGTTTACACATCTGCCAAAGGAGTAGAATTATACTTCTTTTTACAGGTAAATTTTAAGGCATGATCAGTTTTCAGGAAGTGCTTCAAGACCTTAGGCGAAATGAAAATGCTACGTGCTCTCTGACTTTCCATCCCTGTTATGAGGTGCCGCTTCTTCAGATGATGGGGAGCCCTTTTCGGGGCGGGGGGACATTCAGGTGAGCATTGCTCCGGCCTGCTGTCTTGAGTACAAATGTGAATGATCGACTGACTGCTTATTGCCAAACTGGAAATGTTCTGTAGGGATTTACTGGCATGGTATCATTCCTAGAAGAAAAAAAAAAAAAAAAAAAAGAGAGAGAGAGAGGGAAAGAGAAACTTGACTGCACATTTTTTTTTTTAAATCCGTGTTGTGACTTTTATTTAATTTCTATTTTTTTTTGGTAATAAAAAGTTGACTTTTTTATTTGAATTTGTCTTTTTTTTATTTATTGGTCTGAAAGGCATTTCAAAGGTATTATAATAATATATTGGTGTAATTTAATTGGTGCAACATGCTTTATGGCTCCAGTCAAAATTGGTTTTCATTCATTTGATTGGTTTGAGCCCAGAACAGCCTACAGGGGGAACAAGCTGGATAACCACCCAAAGTGTGTGTGTTTTCATTGGAAACTGATTTTTGTTTTGTTTTTCATTTTTTGTTTTGTTTTGTTTCCGTTTTTATTTTTTAAATTAAATAAATTGCAATGAGCTGAACTGAACTGGGACCTTGCCTCTTTATTTGGTTGTTTTCCTCTTAGTTAACTAAGTGACAGAATGGCTGTAAGTAGCAGAAACCCATCCAAGCTAGCTGCAGCACAGAAGGGGAATTTATTTGAAGTTTTTGGAGAAGGAAATGCAGCTGGTTGCGCAGCTGGAACCAGAACTGGAGAAATAGGAGCCAAGAGAACTCCAGGCCGTCCTATTCTGCCCTTCTTTGCACACCAGCTTTCCTCTTCTCCTCCTTGTACAGCCTCGCTTTCTCCCTAATTTATGACCTTCGCTTGCCCCATTCTTTCCAAATATTCTCAGTTCTGGGTTCCAGAAGAGACTGCTGGCCCGGTTCCGTCAACCTGGCCTAGAGACAGCGTGGAAAGCCGCGATCTCTCCTCACGGTTCAGCTCCTCTGCCTCCCCTTCTTCAGAAGCCCCCTCTGTTCTAAGGGCAGCCAGACTGCTAATCTGATTGCTCAGAGTCCAAGATCCATGGGCCATATTTCCTAATGGGGAAGGCCACTGCTCTGCCTATGGTAAGATGGCATCTTGAGTCCCATTTTGCCATTATTTCTTGTGTGACTAGACCCTCCAGGAAGCTCTTAGAAAGAGGGATGAATAACAAGGAAAGGTGGATCCCAGTCTTACAATGTCAAATGCCATCAAACCCTATTGTAACAAACATCCGAGTCATGCTCTGTGCTGAATAGCAGTATTTGGGGATCAATGCATGAAAAGTCAGGCTTTCCAAAGAAATTGCAACTTATACCTTTACCTGATCTACTGGGAGAACATCTCATGTAGCTTGTCACATTTAGCAAATAAACCTGCAGGATATCCAGTTAAGCAGTGCATAATGTTTTAGTATAAGTTTGTCCCGTGCAATATTTGGGTCATGCTCATGCTTAAAGAATTATTTATCTGAAATTCAAATTTAGCTGGGGATCATGTATTTTATCCGGCAACCCAATCTGATGAAGTTTAATTAGCTAAAATGGTACCTGATATGGTAGAGGGTTGGAGAATGGATGCTTATGACGTGACCTGCCAAATTAGGATGTGTCTATGCCTCCAACTGGGCTGAGGTAGGAAGAATCCCAGTTCCAATTTGGACTTGATGATTGCTAATGAGTCAAACTGCTCCCCGTCTCTGTGCCTCAGTTTTCTCATCTGTCTGATGGGTATATTAATTGCTACCTTTACCTGACTTTAACAGATCCATGAGGAAGGAATGAGAGAATTTCTATGAAGTTGCCTTGAGTGTAAAACTCATTATGACTGGGGAACCATAGCCCTTTTGTTACACACCAACATTCACTCACTTCTAAAATGGGACATTTTAAGGCAATTTTCCTGGCTCTTAATTCTCGCTGTGGACCTGTCAGTCATTTGAAGGGTAAGGGACTAAGGGGACAGGTGAGTCCCTTTGTAAAGACACAATTCTGTGGCCACGTAGAGGGACTAGCATGCACATGGCCCAGAGGCAGTGCTAAATGTGACATATAAGAGACAGGGAG